GGAGAGCGGCGCCCGATTGGTGGTCGAGACAGCGGCATTTGTAATATTTTTCTTTGGGCATTAGAGTCATTTACCAATGCCATCACCGCAACTCCAGGCACTGAATCACAAGCCACTTAAAGGGTTTTATTGGCAGTTTTGAAACTTCTTAACGTGTTCTTTTGTTTGAAACCAAGTGTCAACCTATTTTTGACCTTCCTCTCCAGCCCCTACCTACAAAGCTGTTGCAGCTACAAACTACTTTATTCCCTCACTATTCCAGCGTGGTTACCACCTCTGCCTTGTCTTAGAAGGACTCGAGCTCTTTGGTGGTAGCACTTGGTGGGTCCGAAGTAAATAACCTTTGAGAATTCTTATGAACGTGGAGGAATTGGTAGAAGAGAGAACCGAAGACGAAAGCACAAAGAAGGAAGAAAGAAAGAAGATGAAAGAGATGGTGGGAAAAAAGACGTGGCCGGCAGACGAAGAGAGAATGCAGAATCCAGGGTTTCTCTGCAGACGGGGTGACCCTTGGAGTTCAATAGAAGAGCTCTGAAGTCACAGACTACCTGTGTGCCATCTAATCTGACCCCTGGGGCCATCTGCCCCAAACCACCCCGGCTTTGCTATTGTCCAAATACAAGAGATACTCATTACGTTTCAAGAAATAAAAATGTGAAAGACCGATGCCCCTTGTTCCTCTGTCATGTACCTGCCCTGCTGAGAGTTATCTTAGGTCTTCCCCGTTTGGAAATTTGGGAACAAACACAAAATCATAATGTAGAAGACAGACAAGAGGAGCGATATAGGAAAAGACAAAAGGGAAACGAGATTGTTCCTGGTCTTGCAAATTCCTTGGCTGGTTAAGAGGTCACCGGGCATAGAAAGCTGAGTTGTCTAGTCTGCGGCGAAGACAGGGTGGTTTGATTTTTGGGATCGCCTTCTCCTCTGGGATTATTGCATTCGAAGAGCCGGGGTTCAGCCCACAATCGGGTTGCACACGCATAATTCAGATGCCCGTTGGTGCCGGGCAGCTCCCGCAACCGCGCGAGAAGAGCTGGGCACCTTTGCATTCCCACTAGCAAGGAAATACTGGCTCCTGGCCGGGGGTGAGTTCCCAGGCGGCAGCAGCTATCTGATCTGTAGGTTTTGTTCGTTTGTTTTTAACTCTGCCCAACTGGTCCCTAAAAATCCATTTCACTCAGAACGTAGTGAAGAGGCACGCAACGTTGTAGCGAGGAATTCTGAAAATTCCCCCCGCTAGCCAAGCCTACACGTGGGACTCGAGAAAAGCGCGTTTCGCTGGTAATTGCGCCCTCCAAAATGCCGTTTAATGTACATCCGTCCTCTTTAGACCGAAATACAAAGGCTTTTATTTTAGTGACTCTTCTTTCTACTAAAAAAAAAAAGTTTTTTGAAAGTTCAGTAAATGATAGAACGAAAGAGCACTACAGAAGCAAAGGAGACGTTTGAAGACGTGCGAACGAGCATACACGGAAGTGGGGGGAGCGTGGAGGCGGGAGGTAATCGCCAGCCCTAGCCTTGGGAAACCCAAGAAAGTGGCCTCGAGACAGAACCCAGGCAGAGGAGCGACATTCCGGGAGACCGAGTTCTCCACCATCCCCACCCCTTCCTTAGTCCTGCTCCCTCCCTTTGCTCCCTGTATAGTTTAGCTTTTAGGTTTTTTTCCCCTCCTTTGCCCCAAGACATTTATAACTGCTTGGAAATCCAGAACAGAGGGGTGATGTGGAAGTGAGCCTGGAGCCCTGCCTTCATGAGGGTTCAGACCCCATGGGCTTCTGACCAAAGTTCTCCTACACCCAGGAGTCAAGTCACACCCACCCAGGAGCTCCTTTCCGGCTGGGAGCCTGGCTTGCATTCTGCTCCGACCGGACCCCCAAGACCATCAGCATCAAGGCTGCCCCAGAAAGATCGCAGGCTGTTTTGCTTTTGAGTCAAGAGGTCCTGGTGAAAAACGCCTGGTGTGCTTTGGGCCGATTAGGTCAAGTTGGGATGTACCTCTGTGCTCCACACCTCAAGAAATTCACAAAGCAGCAAGCCCCCAACCCAGAGGGGTGTGTCAGGAGTGTGTGAACACGAGTGTGTACCTGTGTTGGGTGGGGTGACGCTTCACGTCCCCAAAGACAATTCTTGACCCTGCGGCATAGAAGTCCTCTACTTTTCTTCTACGAAGATTGCCCCCCACCCCAGCCACATCCTGGCACGCCTGACTAGTTCTCTGGAGGCCCCACAGAAGTGGCATTAATATACTGCTCTGATTTTCGAAGGTTTATTTCACGTCAAAACTGTAAAAGTTCTTGGGAGAATTTACAGACAAAACATCTGGTTCGTTAAAACAAAGCTACTGGAAAAAGAGAAACAAACTTCGCTGCTGTGTAAATGCACTTTTAGCAAACAATTTACCGCCTGGTGAGGGGCTGGCCCGGGGATCTGAATCCTTTGGCTCTGGCAGGAGGTCCATAATCAGGCCCGGATCCAGCTGGAGGTGTGCGTGCAAGTGGCAGCAGCGTCTCTGCCCCCAGGGCACATTTTCCTCACTGCCCAGCCCACAAGGCAATGGGTAGGAGAAAGCAGGGTCACATCCAGGAGCACAGCCAGTGTTCTAGGGCAGCTCAGGCTGGAGGCCACTGGGTGCCACCTCTCCTGGCACTACCAGGCCCTGGGGTGTCCGAAACTCCCACCCTGGCCAGATGCTCACACACCTTCAAATCTGGTGCAGTCTCCCAGAGCTTACTCCCCAATCTGCCTACTTTTCCAGGTGTCAAAGGCCTCCTTTCAGAGTGCCAGGACCCCCTCTCCTGGGTCAGACATTAGGCCCTGCGAAGCCTATCCCGGCACTAGCCAGGAAAGGTCAGTGTCCAGGACACCTTCTTTCCTTGAAGTCATTTTCTTTGGTGGCCAATCCAATGAGGACACACCTCAGCCTTCCTTAGATCTGGAGGGCTCACTGCACTCAGCTTCCACCTTGACTGCAATCCCGGCTGCCTCCTGGCAGTGGCCCAGTTTGCTGCTCCTTCCCAGAATGCATGTCTGGACTCTGGTATGGTCGGGGAGAGGCAGGCTAGTGTTTCTCTGCTGCATACCTGTTCGGGACTGTGCCTGTATCTTTTTTTTAATTTTCGGGACTCATTGGAGTGGAAGGGGGCTCAGATTAGCCAAGGTCAGGAACTCCCTAGGATGGGTTTCAGCTATTAGAGGCAAACCTCCCAGGGGAATAGGGTCTGGACACCTTGAGTTCCGAGTTCTGAAAGCTGGAGTCAAATTTCTCACCTCTGACCTAGATAAACCACCTTGGGAGTGTTTCTAAAGAATACAGCTCCGTTCCCTGCCAGGGAGGGCAGGCCAGCTTCCTTTGGGCCTGATACAATCTTGAGAGGTCAGGATGGCTTTCAGGGCCCCTTGGGCATGGTTTGGGTTCATAAGAGTGACCACCTAGTTTTGAGGTAAGCCACCAGTTTCCCAAATAGGTACTTTGGTGAGTCCTTTCACTGTCTCTCAGCCCATTTTTCTTCTATTTTTAGGGTTTAAAAAAAAATTTCCCGGAACCATGCTACCTTGCAGAGGTGGGGGCATATGGCTTAGGCACTGATTCAAGTGGCTAAGTCATCAGGCGCTTGCACAGGGAAGAATATTGCATAGCTTTTCAAAGATAGCTCTGTTTCAAGAGTGGAGTAAAAAGATTGCTACATAGTGTATCTTCTACAGAATCTTAGCTCCTCCGCTGGGCAGGGGCTTTTTCGCCTTACTAGCATAAAAATAGCTGGAACACTGGGTGTGGTGTGGTGTGGCGTGTGGTGTGCAGAGCCCGCACTTCATAGCGCAGGCAGGAAGGTTCTCCTTCCGGAAGGACCCCTAGCTAGCCCTGCTGAAGTCTCCCCTGACCTTCTCCAGAGTGGAGCAGGAGTCAGAATGCACCTTTCCCCCTTCTAACTCAAGGATGTCAGTGTGAACAGCTGTGCAAGGTTTCATCCACTTGTGTACTACCTCTGAGGGGAGGAGCTCACCCAGCAGCCGGGACAGAAATATATACAGACAGAATGAAGTAGAGTACAATGCCAGGTACCTACAGCCTCCCCGAGATGTCCCAGGAGAAGGTCCTCCCCCCACTCTAGACACTGTTCCCAAGAACTTCTTGGGAAGACAAGAAGACCCTTTGGGCAGACCAGATTGATCAGGGACACATGTGCTTATGTTTACCCTCTGGACAACTGAGGAGGGAGTGGGGAGTCAGAGGCAATAGCGGGGAGAACGTGAAAAGGCAGCCAAGGTCAGCATTCTGGGAGAACAGGCGCCAACAACTAAGTGCAAAGCTCTGGTTTCCCAAATACATGGCCCTGCCCTTTCTCCCTCTGTAAATAACATGTGAATTACAGGCTTACTGCCATCCAGACACCAGTTCCCCCTAAATCAAATCCCTGTTTGCACTGGGATCTCTGTTTCCTTCTCCTCTCCCACTCCTCCGGGTCAGGCCTGGGGGAGCAGCTGCGAGGCCGGTGCGGTAAAGTTTTACCTTGAGAGCTCCTGGCTAAGACCTGCCAGGCTACTTCAACCACCCGGCGTCTGCCCAGGTGAAGTGCGCTGAAGCCCCAGCACCCAGGTACCTTCCAGGTCTATATCGTGATTAGTGCAGATTTGGGAATCTCTCATTCTTTCTCTCCTAGCCACACCCAACCCTACAGAAAATGGGCAGAGAACTACGGATTCAAGGGGTGATCATGCCACTTTTCGTCTCCCATCCCTAGAAAGGCCTGAAACCCTATTCATGTGGTGGAGGTCTCTAGATTAAAGGGGAAGGTGAGTGTATGTGGCTAAGAGATCACAGTAGAGATCAGGGATTTAGGCTGTGTCAAGCCGGCCAGATCCCAGTCTGTGTGTCCCGGATAGCCAGTGCAGAGCGCTCGCGGTGCGCACTCCGCATGGCCGGTGTTGTGCGTGACGGGCTGTCGCTGCAATGTGAGGTCCATTGACACTGATGGATGCGCCAATGGTTGGACGGACAGATGTTAGGGCGGATCGTACAGCGCACGGCGCCTGAGCGGGGGAGGGAGAGGCACCGATCGAGAGGCTGCGGCAGCCGGCGATGCGGGGACCCGAGCTTCGGCCGCGGTCCACTGGGGCAGAGGGCGGAGGGTACCGAGGTTGGAAGAACAGCGAAGGGAAGGAGAGGAGGAGGGAAGCACTACCAGGGCAAACTCCCTGCTTTCGGTGCGCGGTGCCCGTGCACACGCGCCGCAACCAGCGCGTGTAAGCGGGCACCGGGGCTTCCAGGGTAAGCCTAGGGCCGGTGGGAGCTTATCTCGAGCGGTGCCCGACCCTCCTCCAGGCGAGAGGAACCCCGGCGATGCCACCAGAACCGTGAAGTCGCCGGCGGCGTCTGCCGATCCACCGTTCCCTCGCTCGCAAGAAGCGTTTCACGCCCCGCGGCCGCATCTCCCGGGCCTGGAGGGCCCGCCGTTCCGGCCTCTGCGGCCAAAGGCACCAGCTACGCCTGGCGTCCCACCCACAAGCACGCCACACACCGCCAGCACCACAGCCCAGCCGCCACCCGCCTCAGGCTCCCGGCCCCGCCCGGGGTCCGCACCCCGCAACTCCAAGCGCTTCAGCGCGCGCCAAGGCGCTGGAGGCGGCTTTATAGCCGGGGAGGACGACGGCGGCGGCACATCCGCATTCAGGGAGGCGTCTGGACCGAGCCCAAGCCTGCAGGCTGGGGGCGAGCTGAGACTTTTGATCTTACCGTCAGGGTGAGATCACGGTCTCCTGGTCTACAAGAAAAGAAAGCATGCTGTGAACTTTTAAAACAAACTTGCAAAAACAATCACAAAGAAAACATTAAAAGGAGACAGGTCGGGAGGAAAGGGGGGAAAAGACTAAAAGAGAAAGAAACATTAAAAGAAAGAAAAAGGAAGGAAGAAGGCCAGGACTGCAGCTCCGGGAGCGCACAGGCAGCCGGTCCCGGGGCGCGGGGCTCCGGCCCTCGCCGGGACTGTGGGCCTCCGGGCCCGCGCGTGCGTCTGGGCCCTGGCGGACG